AGCAGTAGTAGCAGTAGTCGTACTAGTCGTAGTAGTCGTCGTCGTAGAAGTAGCAGTAGTAGCAGCAGCAGCAGCAGCAGCAAGAGTAGTAGTAGTGGTGGTGGTAGCAGTAGTAGTAGTAGTAGTAGTAGTCGTCGTCGTCAGTAGTCGTCGTAGCTGTAAGTAGAATACATGTTAATGGGCAGCAACAGCACCAACTCCTGAGGCAAGGGAGTTGACTCAGTAAACGTTGTCGTTGCTGTACCTTCGCTCGGAGTCGGGCCGATATTTTGCGAGCTCCTTCTCGACGCCTGCGGCAAAGTCGTCATCCTTCTTGTCGAGGCCTCTCATAGGAGTTTCCAAAAATAAGGGGTACCTTATTTTGAGGTCCTTATAGTAGGAATCCTACTCTTTAGGGTACTATATTAGGGTCCCCTATTTTCGGAAACCCCCTAATGTCCCAGCGAGCTCAGTGTCACAGGTTAGCGAGTCGGAGTGTCTTTGCGAGTTGGCGAGATCAGGATTTCCTGAGCTCAGACCGGTTGGTTTAAACGATGCACGACAGTCTGGCAGAACCCCCAGGCATTGCAAACTCTGCCGAACCACAACACAAACACTTACGCGGAAACTGTACTGATTGCAGCTTCCCGCAACATGTTTGATACAAGAGCCCAAGAAATAAAAACAAAGGCAACGCTGATATAGGGGCGTTAATGATTTCAACCAGGTTTCGGGGCATATTATAGTATGGTTCTAAAAAGAAGCCCTGGGGAATGATATTGGTAGTTATTCCGATCCCTATGTTGGCTCATGTTCACGGAACCGTCCTGAACCCGAACTCCAAAGTCTCTGTTGCTTTATGGATGGCCTGCCACTAGTCTTGGCCTCCCTGCTTCTGACCCGGAACGGGCATGCCGTTCGATGATGGGCTCTTTCATGGTTTCACATTTTAGATTTGAGCCTGTAGATTTATGCCAACTTTGATCCGTCAGCAAAGAGCAGCTGTATATGCCACGGGCATGAGATGGGAAGGCCGTGGATGACATGGGAGGCAGGACTGCTCCATTCGCAGGCCTTCCGCTCAAGACTCGCCCCGCATGCTCAGGTTTAGGATTAGGATTTGGGATATCGGGACCCCAAACCCTAAACCCTAAACGCTGAACCCTAAACCCTAAATGGGATATCGGGGTTTAGGCCCATATAATTAAAAAAAAAAGGGAGGGCTGAATCCTTACATGGGATTCCCGGGCACGATGCCTCGGATCAGCCATCTTGGGCCAGCTCTGCGAGGCTTCGAGCAAGGCAGCGGACGTGCCAAATAATATAAGGGGCCTTAATGATTAGGTTCTTTTAAGAGTTCCTTTCAAGGGGTCTGTAAGAGCTACTACAAGCTCGAAAATAGGGGGCTTCACAATTAGAATGGGGTCTTGAGGCATGTTATACTATAGATATAATATGGAACCCTAGAGGTATATTATTCTATAATATAATAAGGAACCCTCCAAAATAGCATAGGTAATTATTAAGGCCCCTACATTACATGCAATTCCCGTCTTTGCATACCAGGGCTCAGGGGTTTAGGGTTTAGGGGTATTCCCAAACCCTTGGGAACCTTCACTTAATGGGGTTTAGGTGTTAGGGTTTAGGGGTTTGGGTTTGGGGGTTTAGGGTTTAGGGCGACTACCCTAAACCCTAAACACCCTAACCCTGTGTAAAAAGAGACAAAAGTTCCCTGTATGTCTAGGAATCTAGCCACCTGGTCACCGAAGGACCCTAATCATCAGAATAAGGTCTGGGGGGCTCCTTATTATTTTCATACTATGTACGCCCCAAACCCTCTTCCATTTATTAAGGCGCTGTATTCTATTATATCATATCATATTAAGTTTTGTAATGCGAGAATATAGTGTATGAAGGAGCCTAGCCTTCTCCAAGCTGGAGGCGGGCAAAGCGTCGGATGACGAGATTCTCACCTGGGGCTCAATCTGGTCCGGGCTTGGGGTAGAGGCTCTTTGTTTTCATGGTTTGGGGTTTGGCGTTTTAGTTAAGCCCTAATCCCTAAACCCTAAATCCTAAACACTAAAGGGCTCTAGGATTTCATGATGTAGGGGATTTAGGGTCTGGGGCTTTTGGATGCTCCAATCTTGTTGGTTTGACTCGGGCTGCCCATGTCACAGACAAAACTGAAGTCAAACGTGTCTACCCTGTCATGTCGCGGCCTTCACAGTGCTAAGGCCTAGCTACGTCTGGGATACGACGTTCACTCAAGCAAAGCCCGTATGACGAAGGCTTAATCTTCGAGGCAGCCGTTGTGGAAGTGGTCATGTGCTAGAAACGACCCCTTTTCCCCAAACCCCAAACCCCAAACCCTAAACCCTACACACCCCAAACGCTAAACCCGAAACCCTAAACCCTAAACCCTAAACCCCAAACCCTTAACCCCAAACCACCACCCTATACCCTAAACCCTAAACCTCTAAACCCTGAACCCAAAACCCTAAACCAAGGTTCAAAGCCTTCAATCATGACTCGGGCCCTCACCCAGCTTCGCAATCCGCTCTTTCAAGACCTGAAGGGCAAGAACAATCTTGTATTCTACTTGCGTCATATCTGTCGCTCTCGACTCCGCCCGCGCTGAGTCAGAGCGTCCAAGCAGTGTGAGCTATACTTGCATCATATCATTTTCCACCATTTGATTACTAATTTAGGCTGTACGAAACTGTTGCTCTATTGTATCATATTCAACTATACCGTAGTATACAAGCTTATATTCCAGTACAGTATAGTATAGTATCTTGTTTACTATGCTATACTTTCTTCTAATACATTACACTATACTGTACTATGTCATATTATGGTATATTGTATTACATTACACCACACTATAGCACGTTACCTCATAGTATATTATGTTATATTGCACTATACTGTATTTTATGATGCTATGTTATATTCTGTTGTATTATACTGTATTGTATTATGCTAAATCATATCATATTACATTATATTCTATTATATTATATGATATCATATCATATTCGCATCGGAACAGCTTGCTCTGTCCGGGTCAGGAAAATCTAGCACCCCGTCTGCACCAGGTCCCAGCCCTCCCAGAAGACCACCTGAACCCTCGCATGACAGGACGACGACGAGTGTTACTGCTACGTTTATGAGTCTGATTTTCGCGGTTATCATGATGATCGTAATTATTATTGCTGTTACTATTCATTTCATTATTGTTACTACGATCACTATTACTACTGCTACTACTACTACTACTACTACTACTACTACTACGACGACGACGTAATCTCCACAAGAAACTGAGCATCAGCCCAAAGACTCTCCTTATAAGTCTGGCAACTTTCCTCCCGGAGGGGTGAAAAACTTCCAACCCCTAAACTCTAAACCTAGGGTTTAAAGGGCTTATAGGGTTTAGGGTTCGGGGCTTTAGGCTTAGGACCGTAAGCCCTATAGGGTCTAGGATGAACCACACCTGGGCTTCTCGGCCATTTTCGGACACCTAAACTTTACGGGTCTTGTTGCTCATCACAGGTCTCCCATAGTATTACCCAAAACACACCTCGACAAGATTGACATAAAAAGCGCCCCTGTATACACTGACAAAGCCCTAACATATTCCCTACTTCATGTCATATTCTGCGTTGCCCTCATAGATCACAGTGCGATCTGCTCTAGCACGAAGAATAATTTGTGCTGACTACACCATAGTTTTTGATGTGGCTGCTGAGCTCTGGCACAGCATTGGGTATGGCGCGGTATGGCATCATACGGCAAGGTGTAAAGCAAGGTTGTACATTCACTGTACGCTTCATATGCAACGAGGATGTCACAACTCTATAGCGGAATGCATGTGCACAACATGACAACAAACCTCTGCCCGATGCTGTCCAAACCTATCTCAAAGCATTGCACAACATCACAGAAACAACCTGGAAGCACGTGGGACACGGAAGCTGATGCATGGAAAGTCAGTTTCCGAAGAGGCCTCCTGCACGGTCTTGTCCTCATCCTTGAGCCACTTCTGGCCTTACTTGGGCGATGTTCTGACCCAAGTCCCAACCGGACTCGCTCCCCTCGTCCCCTCGGCTGATACAGCTACAACGACAACAAGCACCGACAACAGCAACAACAAGGACAGCGACGACGACGAAGTTACAAACCTGCTCTGGCTGTCCCGGTTGTAATTGTCGGACGCCGCTCTCAGTGTAACAATGACTATGACACTGACAACAGTAAGAACAAGGACATACTTATGATGATAGAAACAGTCCCTAAACCCTAAACCCTAAACCCACAAGCAATCTGACCGAAGCTGGGGGCGCCGGCTCAGCAGGGCGCTTTCTTCGAACTTCTTCCTGCCCAGCCACAGCCGGAGTTTCTGGGCTTCGGCTTTCGGCCTTCGGTTTTGGGTTATGGAATACTTACAAGTTTAGGGTCTAAGGTTTAGGGGTTTAGGGTTTAAGGTTTAGGGTATAGGGCTTAGGGTTTAGTACCTCCTTGATATGAGGTTTCTGAACCAGGGTGGGTCTTCAACGTTACGGGTTGAAGGCTTGCAGGTACCTCCTTGCATTCCCAACACCCCAGTCGCAAACAGTGGTCATCAACTCCTTCAAGAGAACCTGAAGCCTGAAACGCTGACTCCGCTGAGTACTCTGCCGCTCGTGATCCCTTTGAACTCCCACACCGTAAACCCTATAAGCCCTATAAAACCCTAATATACCCTAATAATCCCAAAAACCCTACTAAACCCTAGAACTCGTTTTTGGCGGCGCAGCTTCGGCCTGAGACGTCCGGACACAATCTTCTCCTTGATGGCATCCGGCTTGCCTGCCAGGTCCTGCTGCTCTTGGGATGTAAGCTTTTTGGGGTTGGAACAAAGACATTACACAGTTGGTATGGCTTCTTATATTTTTAGGTTGATATACATGCATACATACATATGTACATGCATGCGCAAGTATCTGCACACGTTCCTGTGCCTCTATCTCATTCACATTGTACTAGGACCCATGCAGGCAAGTAGAGCAGATGTACCGTACCGCACACAAATCTGAGTAAATGTACCTGCCCATGTTGTATATGCTTCCGTGCAGCATATTGCACTCCACCAGATCACATTGCATCATGTACTCTGTCCCTTTGCCACATCGAAGGTTATACCATAAACACTAAACCCTAAACCCTGAACACTAAAGACTCACACTAAAGACTGAAGCTAAAACCCTACCCTTCGACTCACATGTCTCCTCTTTCTCCATCTCAAGAGCCTTCTCCTGGCACGGCCCGTGAAAAGTCGAAGGCAGGGTCAGGTCACGTAAACTTACAGCCATTGGGTTTAGGGCTTAGGGTTTAGGGAAGGTTTATGGCTCAGGGCTATCAGGGTTTAGGGTTTAGGGTTTAGGGCCACTGGGGGTCAGGGCACCTCGCTTCTTTAGTGTTTAGGAGTCGCGGGCTGCTTGTTGTGAAGTTTAGCTGACTCCCGTATCGCGCGTTGTGTTTTGCTATGTTGTGTCTAGTGCAAGAAACTATTGTCTGACATGAAACTGCAACTTGGCATTCCAATACATGATATATGTTGCGATGATTATTATGATCGTCAGTAGTACTTAAGAATATTAGCATCAGTGTTGTTACTATTGTTACGCACGTGATCACGTGATCTGCCCTCCAATGCAAACGGCTATCCAATCTCCAGTATCTGGCAGCCCTGAATGATGTCTCACGTGGGCCTGCCATCATGGAGGCTCTTACGATAGCCAGCAACAAACGGGCCTCTTTAATGGTCAGTGGAGTGAACTACGTTGCTAGTACCGCGTTTCCTTCTCCATCATGTCGGCTGGCACATCGTCGACGGAGATGAAGTTCACCTAGCCATGCTGCCACAGAACACCACAGTCCATGACCAGCTACAGCATCTCCCCGCGTCGCAAGACGCTTAAGGCTCGGACATCTGGGTTGGCTGCGATTTGCATTGCAACGTCCGACGCAAACTCCTTGAAGATCGAGTTGATGGCGACGAAGTCGGTCTCACTGTTAACCTGGGGAAGGGTTTTTTGCTGGTAACACTCGACTCGTGACCCCTGACAACAGCCAGAAGATACGCCGGCTAATGTTCTAAGGCACGTAGTCTTTCAATTCTAAACGCTAACGATCCCTAAACCTTAAACCCTGTAAGCCCTACGACAAGTAAGCTAAACCTAAAGCCCTTTACACCCCTACTAAGGACCTCCACGAGCACGCCCAGCTTTGAGTTGAAGTGCACATAGGAGGCGATGACGCCCTCTGCGGAGAGGTTCCCAGCCTTCTTGTCAGCCTTGGCCATGCCTTTCCTTATGTGGAAGACTTTAGGGTTTAGGGCTTAGGGTTTAGGGTTTAAGGTTTAGGGTAGGGTTTAGGGTTTAGGGCTTAGGGTTTAGGGTTTAGGGCTTAGGGTGTAGGGCTTGGGGTTGAGGGTCTTTCAGACTGTCTGCTTGACTGAATGAGCTCTGGTACCAGAATTTTCGAATTTGACTTAAGGTCAAAGCCCGAGCATTCCAAGTGTCTTCTTGAGCCAGTCCATGGCCTTGTCCATGTCTCCTTCGCATTCGGTCAAGGCCTTCTTCGCGTCGAGGATTCCTGCGCCAGACCGGCCGCGCAGCTCCTTCACCTGTGCTGCAGAGACTGCAACTTTCGGCTTCTCTTCCTTCTTCTCCTCCTCTTTCTTCTCCTCCTGCTTTTCTTCCTTCTTCTCTTCCTTCTCCTCCTTCTTCTCCTCCTTTGCCTCTCCACCTGCGTTCTTGTACTTGGCAAGCTCCTTCTCTACTCCAGCGGCGAAGTCGTCGTCCTTCTTCTCCAGGCCCTCGCCTAAAGTCAAGCGCTGGAAACGCCTGATGACGATGTTCTCGCCAAGTTTTGCAATGGTCTGCTTGACGGCTTCCTGGACAGTGATGTCCTCGTCCTTCAACCATTTCTGGCTCATCAATGCCTTCTCCTCGAACTTTTTCTTCAAGCGGCCTCCCACAATCTTCTCCTTGATCGCATCTGGCTTGCCTTCCAGATCCTCCTTGGTCATTTCAAGCTGCTTCTCTTTCTCCATCTCCGCCGCAGGAACATCATCCGTGGTCACGTACCCCACATCAGAGTTGGCTGCAATTTGCATGGCGACATCAGCAGTGAACTCCTTGAAGATCGCGTTGCTGGCAACGAAATCGGTCTCACTGTTCACCTCTACCAGGACTGCGATCTTGTTGTTGAAGTGGACATACGAGGCCACGCAGCCCTCCACTGCCACATTGCCAGCTTTCTTGTCGGCTTTTGCCATGCCCTTCTTCTTCAGCCATTCCATAGCCTGAGGCAGGCCACTGGCACTTGCCCTGAAGCTGTACGACAGAAGTAGGCTACAGGATTTTGCTTGGACGGACCAAACACAGCACGAGATCATGTACCACAGCAGATTTACGATCCTTTCTGCGGCATCTGGACATCCAGCACAGCACGACACAAGCAGGGAAAACCTGGTCGACTACATTGTGAACTCATGTCGTGGATCATGACATCAAACCCTATACCCTAAACCCTAAATCGCATCACCATGTAGAATATGGGCGACTGCGACATTAGGCGAGCCTTGTCCATGTCTCCCCCGCACTCGGTCAAGGCTTTCTTGCAGTCCTGGCAATTTCAGCCAAGATTCGGCATGAAGTTCGTCTTTTCGACCCTTCTCCCGATGATCATGATCCAGAGATTAGGGTTTAGGGTTTAGGGTGTATCCAGAGATTAAGCATGGCATGCTGCCAGGTTGTGCATGACCTTGCTTAGACACCCATGCCACTAATTCCTCACGACTGGACAACGGCACTACTGAAACTATCACTGCACATGAGCCCACAACGCCACGCGGTCCAGGATGCCCGCGCGGGATCTCTCCCGCAGCGCTTTGACATCCTGACATCAAATCACAGAAGCGGTTTGGCCCTCGTTAAACTCTGCTGCCCCTGCTCCTCACCGACCAAAAGTACGACTGCACTGCTACGGCACACATGCATACACAAACACAAAGCGCAAAGACACGGAGGCACATGCATGCATGCATTTATGTACATACGTCCTATACATAAACATATATATATATACACATTGCTGTAGATGTTTGTCTATATAATTATACAGATGTACATATTTGTGCGTGTGTGTGAGTGTGTTGATAAGCTTGCGTTCGAGCTAGAGGGCATGCCGGTGGGTGGGTGGGTCAAAGCAAGACCCACTCACAGAAAGCTATAACATATAACATATCTGTGCGCCTCATTGTGCGCGTAGACTCACTGGAACTTTGCACAGTCATGAATTCCGAACACACGATGCCGGCGTGAGCCGGTCGCAACGGCGCAACGGCATGAACCGGAAGTGCACTTCACATGCGAAGCTGCCAACCCCTTGCCTACACAAGAAGCAGTTTTTGATACTACTCAATCCTGAATGTCTCCCCGCCTTCCAGACCGCCCGCCTCATACTGATCGGAAGAAGATAGAAAAGCCAAGCCACAGCTCTGAACCCCGACTGAACCCCGAAACTCATAAACTCCCAAAAACTGAATCCCAATGTTTGCCCACCGTGGCACCCCTTATGCTACTTCTTCTCAAGTATCCGGGGCAGCAAGCCTGAAACCCTATCAAACCCTATGAAGTCCCATAGGACCTCACAAACCCTCCAAAACAAAGTAACCCGAAAACTTCGTGAAACCCCAGAAAACAAAAAAACATTCAGAAAACATCAAGAAAGCTACAAAAAAGTTCCCGAGTCACCCCGAGCCTTGCCACTCGGAGAAGCGGCCTTTGGTGCCTTTTCGGGTGCACTGGGTTTAGGTTTTAGGGTTTAGGGTTTAGGGTTTAAGGTGTTTTTTTGTTGAAGGCCTTTTTCCGTCTGCTAACTCCTAGCTCGGGAATCTGCGTGGCAGAAGGCAAGTGCTCAACCAGTCAGGGTTTAAGGTTTAGGGTTTAGGGTTTAAGGTTTAGGGTTTAGGGTTTTAAGGTTTAGGGTTTAGGGGTTAGGGTTCAGGGTAGTCGGATTATTGAGGGGCTACTGGGGAGCCCCTAGTCACCCTAAGCCCAAACCCTAAAGCGCTACAGCTTAAATTTGGGTTTTAACAGTTTAAATGGTTTACGGCTTGGGGTTTAGGGTTTGGGTTGTTTAGGGTGTTGGGTGTGGGTTTAGTACGCAGGATTGAGGATCTAGCTAGGGACTATATACAACCCCTACACAACCCTGCTAGAACCCGAATCGAACCCTTACCGGAACCCTTTGCGACCCAACGCCTTCTCCTCCTTTGCTGGCTCCGGCTCAGGAGCCTGCGTGTCAACTGATGCGAGACTTGGATGAATATTTAGAATAAGGGTTTTGGGGATGCACAACAAAAAAACAGGTGGTGCTTCAAGGGCCCTCCAACTGCATGCCAAACCTGAGAACAAATAATGTCTGGTGACTGCACAATCAAGCACTTCTGCCAGTGCTAACGTAAACCATGTGAAGCTGAGAAGTTAAGCTGTGTCCCGAGTGCCATCGGAGTTATATTGCAGCTTAGCTAAACGAAAGACTGTAAGAGTATATAGTTACTCAATACCCAGACTCCCTAAACCCTAAACCCAGACCTCTATATAGGGGTTTGCGAAAAAAGGGGACCCTAATATACTACCCTAAATAGTAGGATCCTTTGATAGGGACCCCAAAATAAATAAGGGTACCCCTAACTTCCGGAAAGTCCCAAAGGGGACTTAATAATAGGAGTAGGCTTTTAGGGTCCTTTACAGTATAATTATAATAAGGAACCCCCAAAATATTATAGGGTAATTATTGAGGCCCCTATATTGGGAGAGAGGAGTCTGCATGCAAAAAGCAAGCGCCTTCTCTTCGGCAACGGGCTCCTAAACCCTACACCCTAAACCCTAAACCCTAAACCCCTAAACCCTAAACCCTAAACCCCTAAAAGCGCCTTCTCTTCGGCCACTGGCTCCGGAGCGGGGGCCTGGACAGAGACTCCCGGAGGGCTCTGGCACCAGGCCGCTGCAGACTTAGGGAATGGAGGGTTTTCAGGGCCCCCCTCAAGGTGTATGTAGGGGTTTGAGGCCCCCCAAGGTTTATGTAGGGTTTAGGCTTAGGGGTCTTCAGGTTTAGGGCTTAGGATTCTGGCCCCCAGGGTTTAGGGCCCCCCTAAACCCTATAAACCCTAAACCGCTGGCAGAGGAACACTGCCTTCTCCTCCTTGGCCGGCTCAGGCTCGGGTGCCTGGGCATGAAGAGCCAACAACTCTGAGCCCGAGAGCCCAAGACCCTTTAAGTAAGGAATCATATACCTTACATTATATGGGGCCTTAGTATTATGATTTAAGGTATATTACCCTTTAAATAAGGAATAATATACCTTACATTATAGGGGCCTAAGTATTATGATTTAAAGTATATTTAAGGTATATTCGGATCTGCTGGATGCTGGCGTCTCGGGCCTTTTCCTCGGCAACTGGCTCCGGAGCGGGGGCCTCCCACAGCACGCAGTTTTGGGTTTGGGGTTTAGGGGTTACTGGTTTAGGCCTTAGGGTTTAGGATTAGGGGGTAGGGCTTAAGGCTTAGGGTTTAGGATTGGGGGTTATAGGGCCTAGGACTGAGGGTTTAGGATCATCATCGAGTGCGATCGGCAATGTCACTACAGCAACACTCACGTGTCAGCACGGTCGTCAAGTACTCTGGCCTTCTCCTCCTTGACCGGTTCTGGCTCAGGTGCCTGCAGTGCTCAGTGCTCATGCTGGGGCTACTGAAAACATAAAACAAAAGGATTCACAGTATCCATAAGCCCCGTCGACGCAGGCGAAACACAAGACCCCTTGGCTTTACATTATGACCGAGGCGAAAATAAGGGTTTCTAAGCAACAGCCTGTTAGAAACACCCCTAAACATGGTACCCCCGAATTGCTTGAATCACTTGAAACCCCCAAAACCCTAAACCCTAAACCCCACAAAAACCAGCACATCCACAGCTTGCGGGTTTAGGATCATCATCGAGTGCGGTCGGCAATGTCACTACAGCAACACTC